ATCAGTCAGGCCCCACTGGGCATTCCCAATACAGTGACCGAGCTGCCATAGATGGCTGCTGGTCTCTAGTAATGATTGGGAGCCAGAGGGACAGCTAAGCACATGTCATGTGATCGAGCAGTCCTTCCAGCCCCCAGGGGGTAAAGACTCAGTTAAAGGGATGCTGGAGCTGGGCGGAAAGGGGGTAATGGAGGAATAATCTGTATTCCTTCCTCCAAAAATATACTTCAACAGCTTGTTTTGTTAAAGCTAAACGCACAAATGTCTCAATATCCTATACCGTATCCAACCATTTTCTTGTATCCTATTTGTGAACTCCTGAACCTTCCCAATTATCCCATCCATTGTGAAACAAATGCCCTTATACAACCAATACAATCCAAGCTATGCGGGGCTGTTCCTATTAAATGGGCCCTCAGGGTTCTCAGCTAGTAGATTCCTGCTATAACAGTGCGTCTTCTATGGACATCATTCCACCATTCTATAGAGAAGAATGAGAGTTTTCCACATCTTCACCTGAGGCCTGAAGGCATAGGGTTTGCAATAGAGAAATATTTTAAACTCATGGGGCCCCACTGCAAAATAATTTTGGGACCTCTTGCAGGTTATGTCACCCTCTTCCATCACCCATGGAATGGCTTGCTGACCCCCTTTCCAGTCTAGACATGTGCAGTTCGTTCAGTTCGTAATTGAAATTTGGACACATTTTCCGTTATTCGGAGATTAGGATGTATCCGAATTCCGAATTACAATAGTAATGAATTTAAACGAATCTGATGTAACAAAACAAAATGTGGCCGAAATTCGAACAGATTCGAATGCGAAAACACATTTGGAAAACAAATTCAAATTCGAAAACAAATTTGAAAAACAATTTGAATTTGAAAACAAATTTGAAAAACAATTTGAATTTGAAAACAGGAGTAGAATAAAATAGAACATAAAATACAGAAATAGAAAAGAATAAAATAGAAAATAAAAGAATAGAATAGAAAATAAATAGAGTAAAAAAATAACAGAATAGAAAAAAAAAAAAAGATTAGAACAGAATACAGTAGAAAATAATAAAGTAAAACAGAATAGAAAATACAGGAATAGAAAATAAAATCCATTAGAATAGAAAAGATTAGAATAGAAAATCAAAGAATAGAATAGAAAAGAATGCAAAAGATTAGAATAGAAAATAAAAGTATAGAATAGAAAAGAATAGAATCTATGAGAATAGAATATATTAGAAAAGATTAGAATAGAAAATCAAAGAAAAGAATAGAAAATAATACAGTAAAACACAGCAAAATAGAACAGAAAATAAAGGAACAGAATAGAATCAATTAGAATAGAAGAGAATAGAAAACATTAGAATAGAGAATCAAAGAATAGAATAGTATAGAAAAACAACAGAATAGAATACAATAGAAAGAATATAACTGCCTTCCGAAATTCAAATTTTTAATAGAATGAATTTGAATTCGAACATAATACATTAGAATAGAATATAAAATAACAGAAAAGAATAGAATAGATTAGAAAAGACTAAAAAAACTTTACAAAAAATTGTGAGCTGTGCTATAGTGACATGAGTAGTGATCAACAAAGGTACTGTGAAAATTTTGCTGAAATAGAAATTTTCAATATGGTCACGCAACTCTTCATAGCCCATATACCATCAAAAACCCAAATGGATTGTAGATTATGGATTGTAACATTAGAATTATTATCGAATCCATTAGAAATAGTTTTGAATCCATTAGAATTAGTTTTGAAGCTGTAAAAATGATTTTCAAATCCGTTTGAAATTTCGAATGTGGTAGAATTTGAATAAACAAAATGAATTCCAAAAAAAAACGAATTTAACTAATCGAACAAAACAAAATTAGTCAAATAACGAATCGAAACAAAACACAGTTTTTCATTTTGCACGTCTAATCCAGTCTACTACACATATTGTATAAAGTGAATGATGGGGTGTGCAGCTCTGGACTCATCCCAAATATTTTTCCACTGCCCTTCATCAGGAAAAATGCTTTATTACTAATAAAACATAGAATTTATAGTGAGAAGTGACCAAGCCACCACATCCCTGAATTACCATATCCAAAACCAACAAAATCTAACACGTTTTTGTGACACCAAGAGAAAAAATGGTGACAGGGAAGGGACCTCCAGCACACAGCTTGTGATTGACAGCCTCAGCTCTGGAACAGAGCTTCCCTCCAATCAGCTCTCAGAGCTCTCCTCACGAGCTCTGCAGATTGTAACTTCAATTCCCCCGGCCCCTGCTTTCTGAAAACTCAGACAAACTGTATAAATTCTGCACTTTGAATGGCTTAGAGATGAAAGCTACGGATAAACAGGTACAATGTATGTACAAGGATGTTTTTCATCTCTTTGTATCACACGAGGCCAGTCAGTTACTTCACTGGGTATATGTAAGGGTTTATATTGGAATACAGTTTTCATGTATTTTGTGCGACAACTACATCAGTACTCATTAGAGATATATATACTTCGGTCAGTAGATGGCAGTGTTTGTAAGTATGTAGCTGTATCTATGGTATACTCTATGTCTTTTCTCTGAATAAAGTTTCCTGTTCCCTTGTTGCAGTGAAGCAGAAAAGCACACGTGGACTGTGCACTGTGTGTTCTGTAGGGCTATATACAGAATTTCTAACAGTTTAAAGCCACTTTAACTTTAAATAATACAAATACACTTTATTCAACGGTGACGGAGCTCGGCCCCTGACAGTGTGTTAGAAAAAGGAAATGGTTCTAATGGTTGTTAACTGAGGGGCTCCAGAATGCCTGTTTTGAGCAAAGGAGATTGCCTTTTTGGTTTTTGTACCACCCGAATTTGGGGCCTGGTGTCCAAAGGCTTCAAAGAGTTTTGGGAGGAAAGAAGCCTCTACCCTTTGTCCAGGTTACCAGAGACCAGCAGGCTGTGTGTGTGCAGGTGTGCACACCCTTCATGGCCATAGTTCAGGGCTCCACCCGGGAGAAAGGAGTTTCCTGCCCAGGTCAGGGCCAGTGCAGCAGAGAGCTGCAAGAGTGCACAGAGAGCCAAGAGAGCTGCAAGAGTGCACCGAGAGCCAAGAGAGGCACAGGAGTGCACCGAGAGCCAAGAGAGCTGCAAGAGTGCACCGAGAGCCAAAAGAGGCACAGGAGTGCACTGAGAGTCAAGGGAGCCGCAAGAGTGCACAGAGAGCCAAGAGGGCCACAAGAGTGCACAGAGAGCCACATAGGGGATCAGGTGGTAATTGACCACCCCCGCCTCACCGATAACCCTCCCTGTGCAGCATACATTTCCCTCTACTGCCCAGGGCACCTGCTACTGGCTTCCCTCCTCTCCTTCCCACTGGCAGCTGCAAGCACACAATAGGATCCTTCAGAATGGAGAGCGGGGGAAGGATGCATAAATATGTCACATTTACCAGCCTCTTCCTTTCCTGAATGTAAACAATGAGTGATTGATACTGATCACTCACTGTGTTCATTCATAACTAAAGTATAGTGATATTTGAGGGGGTCCTGTCAGGTTGGCTGTATGGGGCCCCATGGTTTCTAACAGCAGTCCTGCACAGGGCCATAGACATTCTCCAGTCTTGGAAGGAAAACTTTCCATGTGTTCTAGAGTAGAGAAGGTGAGGAAAGGAGTTGCCATTGGTTTTATCAAACCTTTTCTGATGATGAGGAAGGTAGATGGTAACAGAATACATCCTGTCTTTGCCATGTGTGTAAACTGACCCTTTAGTAGTTTGTTCAGCTCCCTCCAAGGGCACTATCCACATGGAGTGTGTGCATTCACATCATTCTCCATGTTTTTGTGAGTTTGCTCCCAGAACTCAAGTTTCTACCCACAATTCTAAAACGCATTGGTAGGTTGACTGGCTTCCAACCTAACTGGCCCTGCTGGGTGTTTGTGTGTGTAGCACTCCATCTAGATAGCCAGGGGGAGCTAGTTACATTTTTGTTAGGTAGGAAGGCTGAGTATCAGCCTGGGCATGAGACAGTGGATCTAATTTAGGTCAGGGCTGAGAGCTCTGCAGGTCAGTTCCTTGATACCTCCCCCTGCTCTAGAAACTTCTAGAAGAAGATTCTAGAAGCAGTGGGCGGGGGTGAGGAGGGGCTAGCTTGCACACTTAGAGGACTCTGGCCAATCCCCAAGCAGAGGTTTGGCATGGGGCCAAGGCAGCCTTTAGGTGTTACTTAGCATGCATCGGGAGAGTTTGGGTAGAAGATGAAGTGAGAGGCTGAGATGCAGGAGCCTGGGAGGAGGCCCAGTATGAAGAGGTCTTCCTGCAGGCAGAGTTGCTGGAAAGGAGAATCACTCAACTTCAGGAGTCCCCTAAGAGAGGAGCACATATGCAGCAGAGAAGGAGCAAGCCCAGCAAAAGGCCTGAAGGCACCCACTAACCCAACAAGCTCACAGAAGAGGAAGAGTTAGTACTCTTACACCCCCTGGACCTGATAAGGGGAAAGGGCATTCGGGTGGAAAACCTAAGTAGCCCCCATCTGGGACTGTTTGACTTAAAGAGACAGATTCTGTGTCCCCTTGCCCAGGGATTCACCCAGTACAGATGGATGAGGAGAGGATTCATCTGGGATCTGAGGTGATACATCAGGAGAGGCTGGAGAACTCTCCAGGAAGAAACTTTTTTTTAATGCTGTATAGAGACTTGTAAATAGTTGCTAAAGATTGTCCTCAGTTACAGTTGGGCATCCCATACACCCCTCAACCCCATCCAAGTTCAATACCCCTACTAAAACTTAAAAACAAAGCTCAAGGACTGTTTACTGTCTCCAGAATGCAAGTCTTTGAAAAATGTGTGTTGCCTGGCTGTCCAGAACTATAGGTGAACCCAAGTCTTCCGCAGCTCCTAAGGAGGTAGTGCTACATGCGTGTGGCCGAGGCGGGGACATTACAGTGGCTAATACTGTATGAATGCTTCTTTGTTTTCTGTGCAAACATTTCAGACAATAAAAATAAGGAAGAGTTAGTTTACCTCCATCTTCTGTGGCTCCCCATCCAGATATCCAGCAGATCTTACCCTCTGGAAAATCTTCTCCATAGTGTGGAAGGCATATTGGTTGTATGAAGCCTGGTGGTAAGATATATATTTGGTACATATATATTTTATATAGATGCATGATTACTTATGTCCAGAGCTCTATTTCATTCTTGGGGAGCCTGCTGCTGGGTGAAAAGGCTGAGCGCTGGCAGAACACTAAAAAGTACAAGAGCTGCATGTATGTTTTGGGAAACCCATTAGAGGGAACCCTGCTGGTTACAAACTGACCTAAACTTAACCACTTCCAGTCCGGACACTTTCACCCCCTTCCAGTCCAGAGCAATTTTCAGCTTTCAGCGCTGTCACACTTTGAATGACAATTGCGCGGTCATGCAACACTGTACCCATATGAATTTTTTAACATTTTTTTGAGACAGATAAAGCTTTATTTTGGTGGTATTTATTCACCACTGGGATTTTTATTTTTTTTGCTATGTAAATGAAAATGTCTAAAAATTTTGAAAAAAAAAATTCATCATAAAAATCATCATCAAAATTTATTCCGTTATATTTTTAGTTAAAAAAAAAAATAAGCCAAATTAGTTTATAACCAAAAATGATAATTTGTAAACTTTTTTTTACATTTTTATTTTTTTTTTTTATATATTATTATTTGTTTGTTTTTTTTGTTTTTTTTACATACTGTCACCCTAGCAGGGTGACACTGTACTACTTGTGGGGGGTGATGATGATTTTTTTTTTTTTTTTTTTTTTTTTAACACCGATTGCTTTTACACCCATATAGGATGTAAAAGCAATCACGTCTCTTTCTCTCTGTCTGTATTCTTGCAGCCATTGAGAACCACTGAGTTAGCTGTGATTGGTCACAGCTTGTCACATGGTACAAGGCTGTTGTGAATAGCCTTGTACCATGTGAACTCTGTGATCATTCACAGATTTCACACGTAGTAAGCAATGATGTCACAAGTGACATCTTGCTTACTACTTTGCATGTGATCACCGATTGGCCAATCAGTGATCACATGGCCGGGACCTCGCACAGAGGTCCCATCCGACGATCGGTGTTCCACTGTGTCCGGAGGACACAGCGGCACCGGATTGCGATGCTGCACACTCCCAGGGAGCGCGCACAAGCAGGGTGCGGGGAGGCCGTTTATAAGCGGCCACCCGACCCTGCAGTGCCACCGTCGTGCCGTTTATAAAACAACGGCCGGACGGGAGGTGGTTAATAAGCAGCTAGCAAAGGTTTTTTTCAATTTAATGCAAACATTTTCTTGGGGGGGGGGGAAGGTGCAAGTAGCTGGCCTTGCCTAGGGCACAAAAGTCTAGCACCGGACCTGTGTATATATATATATATATATATATATATATATATATAAAAAAACAATGTGCAAATGTTTAGGCAGGTGTCAATAAATACTGTGAAGTAAGAGTGATTTCAAAAATATATATTATAATTGTTTATTTTTAGCAATTTACAAAATGCAAAGTGTGCGAACAAAAGAAAAAACTAAATCAAACCAATATTTGGTGTAACTACGCCTTTGGCTTCAAACCAGCATCAATTCTAAAGCTGGTCATACATTATACAATTTTTTTTATTCAATTTCCTTTAGATTTACCTTCAACTATGTAGTGCAAGGGCCTGCCTGACTGCATACGAATTCAAAGCATTTAGACTTGACCTCATAAGCTATGATTTTAGGTAAATCTACAGGAAAATTGCATCATGTATGGCCAGCCTTAGTCTAGGTTCACACCAATGCAGGTTGAGTTTGAGCTGTTTCTGCATTGCGTTTTGCATTGTGTTTTTGCAGCGTTTTGCTGTTTGTTTTTTTCTTGTTGCTAGGAAAATTTAAAACACAAAACACACCAAAAACGCAGCAAAAATGCAGCAAAAAAAACGCAATACATGCTTTTCTGCAAATATTTCCATTGAAGTCTATAGAACCAAAAACACACCTTTTTGCATTCGAAAAAAGTCCCTGACCCTTTCCAAAAAACTCACCGGGTGAAAACACGGAGATGTGAACCTGTCCCATAGGAAATCATGTTAAATGGACTGCAAAATGCTGCAGAAAACGCTTAGGTGTGAACCTAGGGTTACACTTGCACAAAGTCAGGGATTTTGTAGGATTAGAGTCAGGTGCATAATTAACCAATTATACCAAGCAGGTGCTAATGATCATCAATCTGAAACACAACACAGTCAGTAACTGAAACAGCCACAGCCTTCTGATTGGAGAGTTCTAGTTCTGAATTAGCAGGAGGAGTGTCAGACCTGTGCAGAGAGGCCACTGCTTCCACCCAGAGAGAAAGCATCCTCTGCAGCATACGGACAGGAGACAGGCTTTTTCTACTCAGGCTGTGGCTGCTTTCCAAAGAAAGCCAATGGTACGATTTTAAACACCTTTATTATGGAAGAACCTGAAAGTTATTTATTTGATTTAAACTGAGTTGGGGTTTATAAAATTATATTATTTTCCTACAAAGATGATCTTTAAACCATGGATTGTGATTTGCTGGGTTTTTATTTTCTTTTTTTTTTGCATTCCTCTGGATCAACTGTGGTTATAGGATTAACTTTTTTTTTTTAATGGTTGAACTGGATGGACTTTTTGTTTTTTTCAGCCAGACTAACTATGTAACTATGTTTAGGATTATTCTGCAAAGACGCCCAGCTGATTATGAGATTTACAGCTCAGCAGAAACAACTCCAAGACCACCAGTGCTGACAAACAAGATGGTTTTAACTGACCTGGGAAACTTATTGCTTTTACTGAGACCAGATGACATCTGTGTGACGCAGCTCAGATGGCTTACCGGTGGGCTGGGTTGTCTTTACTAACCAGTGGTAGCTCAGAACCACTCAACAACACTCAAATCAATACAATCTAAAACATCAGATTACATGTGAAATGACCTAAAATTAAAAATATTTCCTAGCGGGGTTGCTGGAACTGGATGATAAATTGCACCACACAAAGTGCCCACAAGATGGCAATGTACTGTATGTCATCAGCACTAGGTGTATCAAAGGTACACTTGCAGAGGATAACCGCATTGCCCTGTGATCATTATTTATCACTTATAGCCACTAACTTGTGTTTCATGGGGATCAGGTTTGTGAAATAGAATAGCAAGAAAAAAAAAAAAAAAAATACTCCAAAATATAGTATTATATATTTTACCTATATAATTTTTATATTTTATTTGATATTCTTTATTTGTTTTTTGTTATTGGTATTACTAATGTATTAACTGTGTTAGATCAACTGATAGAGGGCAGAACGTTTATTGACACATATTCTCTCTCTCTCTCTCTCTCTATATAGTATATTTATTTATTTATTTCAGGTACTTATATAGCGCCGTCAGTTTACACAGTGCTTTACATATATATTGTACATTCACATCAGTCCCTAACCCTCAAGGGGTGTACAATCTAAGGTCCCTAACTCACATTCATACATACACATACTAGGGACAATTTAGACAGGATCCAATTCACCTACCAGCATGTCTTTGGAGTGTGGGAGGAAACTGGAGTACCCGGAGGAAACCCACGCAGGCACAGGGAGAACATGCAAACTCCAGGTAGGTGGTGCCGTGGCTGGGATTCGAACCAATGAGCCTAGTACTGCAGGTGGAAGTGCTAACCATTTAGCCACTGTGCTGCCCCGTATACTGTGTGTATATATATAGTATTTAGAGAATATGTAAATCCAACATTTCATATTCCTGATATGTGCCTGCTGTACCAAGTACTTGTATGAAAAAGTCTCCCATTCTCTTCATATTGCTTCCTTTGTGTGCAATCCCTGGTGTTCCCCCAGCCCAGACCCTCTGCTTTCCTATTAAAAAAACTGACCACACTAGACATGAGAGCACAGCGTGGTCAGTTCTCTAGCTGTGTGGGGGACTCAGCCTGTTCTCCTCCAATGATCAGACTTGTGCTGGCCCCCCCCCCCCTCCCACACACACACAGCCATTCACTGGGAGACCAGTGTCCTGCTGTTTCTCCTCTCTTACCTCTTTATGCAGCTGAGAACAGAGGGTATTATTATTAATATTATTATTATACAGGATTTATATAGCGGTTTTCTCAGCGCTTTACAATATAAAAATAAAGACAATACAGCAACAATACAAAGAAAATACAAGAGGGATAGGAGGGCCTTGATCCTGGGAGCTTACAGGGTATGTGATCACTTATAAGAAAAAAGGGGAGGGGGTTATTTATAATTTGTTTAATATCAATACACAAATGTTTTGCCTTTCGTTTCTATTTTTAAAGGATACGTTTACTTTAAAAAAAAAATAATCATAATAATAAAAAATAATCATAATAATAATAATAATAATAAATGCACATCTCTTTAAATATGCATTTATTACTCTTTTTATTAGGCGCCTGCAGAGCATTGCACCCGCGATCAGCAGATGGAGGGTGCACTGTCTAGGACACAAAGATTCTGATTCTTACCATTAAATGTGAAAGGCGTTGCCAGTTTAATCAGGGCGATATCATTGGACATTGTGCTGGACTTGTACTTGCTGTGATAGATGATCTTTTCCACCAAAACAGAGTTTTGTTGGAGGGTCTAAGGGTTGATTGATCAGTCCCACCTGGACGCTCCATGATTCTGGGAAGTACAAACTGTAGGCAGAAAAACAAAAACAAAACCTCAAGGAACATCATTACTGTATTCAATATATACCAGCAACAACCATAAAATGCAGCCTATGAATTCACTAGATACCAATGATAACCGCAGAGAATGCAGCCTGCTCATTCATTTAGGACCAGTTCACATTACATGCGTTTCAGTTGCTTTTTTTTTCTGCATCCAAAACGCACAGAAAGTAGGTTATATGGTTGTACTGGAAAGCGGTAAAACGCATAAAAACACACCCGAATGTAACAAAAACACACTGGAATGCACATGTCCCTATTTACATAAAAGAAAAAGAGAGGGAAAAAATGAACTGGAATGCATAAAAAAACACGCTGGAACGCGTCAAAAATGCATAAAAAATGCACCAGTACGCACCAAAAAACACTTTTATGAAGTGATGCAATATTTTAGTAGTGAAAATTAGCAGTAGTTTAATGGTGGCAGCCGCCGGTGTCCTTAGCAACGAACCAGCAGCTGCCATGTCCTTAGCCTCTTTATGCCGGCCGCACACAAAAGTGCGGCCTCCCGTCATCTGGGCCCTCACCCGAAACCCTGGCCCCTCATCTGGGCTAGATGCTGAGCGGCCCGCACATTTGTGTTCAATTTTAAAAAAACGTGTGCTGAGAGCGCGCGCGCAGCACTTCTTTTGTAAACAAAAGAAGTGCTGCATTAACCACTTGCCGCCCTGCCACTGTGTATATACGTGTGCAGGGCGGCAGTGGAGCACAAAACCACGTTTTAAAAACGGGTTCCGCGCTCCCGACACTTTCGCCGGCAGGGGGCGCGCGCTGCGAGCTCCCGCCGACCCGCGGGTGACACGATTTGATCCAGGAGGGATCAATCATTAGATTTCAGCCAGTGATTTCTGGCTGAAATCACATGATCGGTCCCTGTCCTATCCTGTCCTGTGTTGACATAAACACAGGGCAGGATATGATGTCATTCTTCTCTGCCTGGACACATTCCGTTCCAGACAGAGAAGAAGAAGACATCCAAAAAGTGAGTACACAAGCACTACACTACAGTTAGAACACTCTAGGACACATTTAACCCCCTGATCGCTCCCCCCCCCCCCCCCCCGAGTTAACCCTTCACTGCCCTGTCACCAGTGTCACTGATCAGTGTTGCTGGCGACTTCCGATAGAGTTAGCGCCCCTCCCAGATAGCGCCAGTTTGCCCGCCAGTACACCAGTAATCCCGTTTAACCCCTTGATCGCCCCCCCCCCAGTTAACCCCTTCACTGCCCTGTCACCAGTGTCACTGATCAGTGAACCAATTTTTACTGATCACTGTATCAGTGTCGCTGGCGACTTCCGATAGTGTTAGCGCCCCTCCCAGATAGCGCCAGTTTGCCCGCTAGTGCACCAGAAATCCCATTTAACCCCCTGATCGCCCCCCTCCCCCCCCCCCCCCCCAGTTAACCCCTTCACTGCCCTGTCACCAGTGTCATTGATTACAGTGAACAGATTTTTACTGATCACTGTATTAGTGTCACTGGTGACTTCCGATAGTGTTAGCGCCCCTCCTAGATAGCGCCAGTTTGCCCGCTAATGCACGGGATTTTTTTTACCAAAAACATGGAGCAGAATACATTTTGGCTTAAATTTATGACTAACTTTGAGTTTACGATATATTTTTTATAGCTGAAAGTAGAGAATATTGTTTTTTTTCAAACTTTTCGTGGTTTTTTTTTTGTTTATAGCGCAAAAAATAAAAAGCGCACAGGTGATCAAATACCACCAAAAGAAAGCTCTATTTTTGTGAAAAAAAGGACGTAATTTTCGTTTGGGTACAGCATTGCATGACCGCGCAATTATCATTTGAGTTAGTGCAGCGCTGTATAGCAAAAAAAAGGCATAAATTGCAGTATCTATACCATAGTTTGTAGACGCTATAACTTTCACACAAAGCAATCAATATACACTTATTGGGATTTTTTTTACCAAAAACATGGAGCAGAATACATTTTGGCTTAAATTTACGACTAACTTTGAGTTTACGATATATTTTTTATATGGTGACTTCCGATAGTGTTAGCGCCCCTCCTAGATAGCGCCAGTTTGCCCGCTAATCACGGGATTTTTTTTACCAAAAACATGTAGCAGAATACATTTTGGCTTAAATTTATGACTAACTTTGAGTTTACGATATATTTTTTATAGCTGAAAGTAGAAAATATTTTTTTTTTTCAAAATTTTCGTGTTTTTTTTGTTTATATAGCGCAAAAAATAAAAAGCGCACAGGTGATAAAATACCACCAAAAGAAAGCTCAATTTGTGTGAAAAAAAAGGACGTAAATTTCGTTTGGGTACAGCATTGCATGACCGCAAATTATCATTTGAATTAGTGCAGCGCCAAACAGCAAAAAAAGGCTTGGTCATTAAGGGGGGTAAATCCTCTGGGGCTCAAGTGGTTAAAATTTAAAAAAAAAAAAAAACAGTGTGGGGGTCCGCCCCCCAATTTTCTAAAAAATAGGGTGTGGCTCCCTCCAAAATCCATACCAAACCCTTATCCAAGCATGCAGTCTGACAGGCCAGAAAACATGGAGAATTGAGCGAGTGCTCCTCCCCTTAACCAAACCAGGCCACATGCTTTCAAAATGGTGGGGTGCTCCATGTTGATGAGGACAAGGGACTCTTTCCCACATGCCCGTCTGATGACGTCATAGGTGGGCATGGTTACCTGGTGACGTTATTGGGTGGTCCCGCCCCTTTGTTTATTTAACCACTTCCTGTCCGGCCGCTATATATAAACGGTCCAGGGATGGGTTGCTGTTCATAGACGGCGTCCACCATTTTAGATTGTGCACGCTGCCTGGGAGCATGCGGCACCGCGATCCGGTGCCCGCTGTGTCCGGAACACAGATCGCTGTACGGGACCTCTGTGTGAGGTCCCAATCATGTGATCACTGATTGGCCAATCAGTGATCACATGAATAGGTGTAAGCAAGATGTCACTTCTGACATCATTGCTTACTACGTGTGAAATCTGTAAATGATCACAGAGGTCACATGGTACAAGGCTATTCACAACAGCCTTGTACCATTGACCAATCACAGCTCACACAGTATTTCTCAATGGCTGCAAGAATGCAGCCAGAGAGAAGGAGAAATGATTGCTTTTACAGACTTTATGGGCGTAAAAGCAATCAGTGAAAAAAAAAAATCTTCATCACCCCCCACAAGTAGTACAGTGTCAATATGGTGACAGTGTACTGTTAGGGTGACAGTATGTTAAAAAAAAAAACATAAATAATAATATATAAAAAAAAAATACAAATGTAAAAAAAATTTTTAAAAATTATAGTTTTTGGTTATACACTAATTTGGGTTATTTTTTTTTACTAAAAAGATAACTGAATAAATTTTGGCCAAGATTTATGAAGAAAGATTATTTATTTGCAAAATTTTATAAGGAAAACACTTTTTTTTTTCAAAATTTTTGGACTTTTTCATTTATATAGCAAAAAAAAATATAAATCCCAGTGGTGAATAAATACCACCAAAATAAAATTTTATCTGTCTCAAAAAAATGCTAAAAAATTCATATGGGTACAGTGTTGCATGACCGCGCAATTGTCATTCAAAGTGTGATAGCGCTGAAAGCTGAAAATTGCCCTGGACAGGAAGGGGGTGAAAGTGTCCGGACTTGAAGTGGTTAACAGCAGGTAGGTGGCATAGTGGTCACTCAATGGGAAATAAACATTGGTGTGGGTCGGGGGGTTTTCTTTTTTGTGCAAATCATCAGGATTGACATTGGATTTACTTCAGAGGACTTTTTTTGGCTTGTTTGAATAAAAGACTTCAAAAACTGTCTCTGGGTTTTTATTTACTCTGTATATTTTTTTGATGAATGAGTAGGGGGTTACTCATTCACATAGGGGGGCCAGGATCTGGGGGTGTTTTTGCTCGTCCCCCTTCCTTTCCTGGCCTGCCCGGCTACATGCTTACATAAGGATCTGTTATGGATTTTGGAGGGGCCCATGCCATTTTTTTTTCAATTTGGTGTGGGGCTCCTCTCAAAAGCCATACCGGGACCCCCCCCCCACATTTTTTTATTTTAATTTTTAATGCTGGCACTTCTTCTGGTTTACTTTCTGCCATCAGCGGGAATCCCACTGATAGCAGATGAGTCATGGTTGTTAAGGACGCGGCAGTCACCGTCTCCTTAACAACCAACTACTTGCTGGTTGTTAAGGATGCCAGCAGCTGCCAGCTCCTTAACAACCAATTAAAATGAAACACATTCCTTAATTATCACATGCCTGGACCACTACGCTTCCCGACCACACTATAGCAGATATACTGCTACAGGGTGGCACGGGTATGCAAAATCATATATATATACGTGGTTTTGCATCTCTGGGTAGGTGGCGCATGAGGTGTGCGTCGCACCGTACTCGCACTGCCATTCACGGCCGCAGCTGTCAATCACCGGGTCTCGGCCGGTGATTACTCGCCGGCGCCCGGTGATTGACGAGGATCGCCAATGGGGAGGAGAACTGTATGTAAACAATACAGTTCTCCTCCCTGTCAGCTTGTGCACACTGCTTTGGATGGCTTTGCACAGCACAGCCATCCACAGCAGTGTGATTACAGTGAGGCACACAGACGCAGCCCCCTAGTAAAACAGCATACAGCAAACAGTTAACCCTTTGATCACCCCTCATGTTAACCCCTTCCTGCCTAGTGCCATTAGTACAGTGTCAATGTTTTTTTTCTAGTACTGGTCACTGTATTGGTGTCACTGGGGATGTCAGTGACACCAAGTCAGTTCCCCCCAGTGTCAGAATGCCCGCCGCAGTCCCACTATAAGTCGCTGATCGCCGCCATTACTAGTAAAAATAAAAAAAATTAAAATTCTAGTATATATTCTGCTATTTGTAAACGCTATAACTTTCACGTAAACCAATTAATTTACACATATTGGGATTTTTTTTTTAGCAAAGAAATGGAGCAGAATACATTTTGGCCTAAATTTA